TACGGGATGCATTTTTTTACGATCGAAAGTCTTAAAATGCCTCAATGAAGAGTAACGTTCGTGGAATCCTCGAAAAAAAATCGATCAGTACGATGGATCGTCGATCAGTACGCATCCGGACGTCCGGCTGGCCGAGGAAATACTAAGTCCCGAACCAACTTTTGAAAATCATCGTACGGGATGAAGTTTTTTACGATCGAAAGTCTTAAAATGCCTCAATGAAGAGTAACGTTCGTGGAATCCTCGAAAAAAAATCGATCAGTACGATGGATCGTCGATCAGTACGCATCCGGACGTCCGGCTGGCCGAGGAAATAGTAAGTCCCGAACCAACTTTTGAAAATCATCGTACGGGATGAAGTTTTTTACGATCGAAAGTCTTAAAATGCCTCAATGAAGAGTAACGTTCGTGGAATCCTCGAAAAAAAATCGATCAGTACGATGGATCGTCGATCAGTACGCATCCGGACGTCCGGCTGGCCGAGGAAATACTAAGTCCCGAACCAACTTTTGAAAATCATCGTACGGGATGCATTTTTTTACGATCGAAAGTCTTAAAATGCCTCAATGAAGAGTAACGTTCGTGGAATCCTCGAAAAAAAATCGATCAGTACGATGGATCGTCGATCAGTACGCATCCGGACGTCCGGCTGGCCGAGGAAATACTAAGTCCCGAACCAACTTTTGAAAATCATCGTACGGGATGAAGTTTTTTACGATCGAAAGTCTTAAAATGCCTCAATGAAGAGTAACGTTCGTGGAATCCTCGAAAAAAAATCGATCAGTACGATGGATCGTCGATCAGTACGCATCCGGACGTCCGGCTGGCCGAGGAAATAGTAAGTCCCGAACCAACTTTTGAAAATCATCGTACGGGATGCATTTTTTTACGATCGAAAGTCTTAAAATGCCTCAATGAAGAGTAACGTTCGTGGAATCCTCGAAAAAAAATCGATCAGTACGATGGATCGTCGATCAGTACGCATCCGGACGTCCGGCTGGCCGAGGAAATACTAAGTCCCGAACCAACTTTTGAAAATCATCGTACGGGATGAAGTTTTTTACGATCGAAAGTCTTAAAATGCCTCAATGAAGAGTAACGTTCGTGGAATCCTCGAAAAAAAATCGATCAGTACGATGGATCGTCGATCAGTACGCATCCGGACGTCCGGCTGGCCGAGGAAATACTAAGTCCCGAACCAACTTTTGTGAATCATCGTACGGGATGCATTTTTTTACGATCGAAAGTCTTAAAATGCCTCAATGAAGAGTAACGTTCGTGGAATCCTCGAAAAAAAATCGATCAGTACGATGGATCGTCGATCAGTACGCATCCGGACGTCCGGCTGGCCGAGGAAATAGTAAGTCCCGAACCAACTTTTGAAAATCATCGTACGGGATGCATTTTTTTACGATCGAAAGTCTTAAAATGCCTCAATGAAGAGTAACGTTCGTGGAATCCTCGAAAAAAAATCGATCAGTACGATGGATCGTCGATCAGTACGCATCCGGACGTCCGGCTGGCCGAGGAAATACTAAGTCCCGAACCAACTTTTGAAAATCATCGTACGGGATGAAGTTTTTTACGATCGAAAGTCTTAAAATGCCTCAATGAAGAGTAACGTTCGTGGAATCCTCGAAAAAAAATCGATCAGTACGATGGATCGTCGATCAGTACGCATCCGGACGTCCGGATGGCCGAGGAAATAGTATGTGCCGAACCAACTTTTGAAAATCATCGTACGGGATGAAGTTTTTTACGATCGAAAGTCTTAAAATACATCAATGAAGAGTAACGTTCGTGGAATCCTCGAAAAAAAATCGATCAGTACGATGGATCGTCGATCAGTACGCATCCGGACGTCCGGCTGGCCGAGGAAATAGTAAGTCCCGAACCAACTTTTGAAAATCATCGTACGGGATGCATTTTTTTACGATCGAAAGTCTTAAAATGCCTCAATGAAGAGTAACGTTCGTGGAATCCTCGAAAAAAAATCGATCAGTACGATGGATCGTCGATCAGTACGCATCCGGACGTCCGGCTGGCCGAGGAAATACTAAGTCCCGAACCAACTTTTGAAAATCATCGTACGGGATGAAGTTTTTTACGATCGAAAGTCTTAAAATGCCTCAATGAAGAGTAACGTTCGTGGAATCCTCGAAAAAAAATCGATCAGTACGATGGATCGTCGATCAGTACGCATCCGGACGTCCGGATGGCCGAGGAAATAGTATGTGCCGAACCAACTTTTGAAAATCATCGTACGGGATGAAGTTTTTTACGATCGAAAGTCTTAAAATACATCAATAAAGAGTGTAGGATGTCAAGCTTGCATCAAATGTGCCCACGGAGCCCGGGCTAGGCCATGATCATCCGATGTTGGTTTAGCTCGAAAGACCTAGCTAGAGGTCTCCTAAAATTACGAAAATTTACCAGAAAATAGGATTCACTATCCTTATGAAGCATGCAAAAAATCAGAACAAAATTCCAAGTATTTTTT